AACAGCGCAGCAGGATCGGCCCGGCATAATTCACCCCCGTGTGCTGGAATGGCCGTGAGGGGGTTTCTCGTAGTCCCGGGAGATTGCTCATAAGTGGTTGCAGCGAGGCCGCCTGCCATCGCAGGCACGGGAGGCAACGGTGGATATGTCCTTTAACCACCGCCCTACCGCAGGGGATCCAATAGCGCCGCCGAATGAGACCCCCTGTCTGCTGCACACCTCCGTGGAGGGTTCGGCGATGACAGGACTGAATAATCAGATTAGTAAGATTTGACCTTTTAGGCAGAATAATAGGATGCTTTTCATCGAAGGGTAGGAGGAAGTGTTTCATCCGGTCCCCCACCCGTCAGATTTCCTGCTCGTCTACAAAGGGGTTAAGTTTGGCAAGGGAATTGCCCTTACTGAGAGTCCGGCCCGTTTGAACTCGGTTGCTTTCCTGGGACAGCTTTCCTTTCTGGACGACCCGGACCCTGCTATCCAGGTTCTGATCCAACTCTTCGCACGCCAAGGTTAAAGGCTCGCGGGGTTGCTTAGGATTGCGTCACTGCCCCATTAACCATCGTCGACACCAGGCTAATCCGAAGAAGCCGTTGGAGAGACGAGTAGCGGACGAGAATTTCCGGCTCCTCCTCCTGACCTTGAGCTAGGTGCGTTCTCGTGCGCTGCTCGGGGAGTTCCGTCTCCCTTTGCTCGGGTTCCGAGCGCCAAGGCTCATTCTCGATAGCGAGCCAACCCGGTCCGTGCCACCACAAGGGGTGGGACGCGAGTTCACCCGGTGAGACTCCGCGAGAGGCGCAATCCGCGGGATTATCTTGACTGGCCACATGATGCCAGTGAGCATCGACAAGCATGGTCTGGATTTCTGAGACTTTATTGGCGACGAATGTCATCCATCGCGACGGGTGTCCTCGAATCCAGCCCAAGGTAACCGTCGAATCGGACCACAAGTGAGTCGGCCTTTGAGTTAGGTCGAGAGTTTTCTGAACGTGATGTACCACTCGTGACAATAAGGTAGCGGCACTCAGCTCTAACCGAGGTAAAGAGATCTGTTTTAAGGGGGTGACCTTCGTCTTAGCCGTCAAGAGAGTTGTTGTCCAGTCGGAGTCGTCGGGGTTCCCTTTCGTCCGCAGGTATACCACGGCGGCGTAAACGCTCTCGGAAGCATCGGCGAATCCATGCAACTCCACAACCGGGGCGATGGTTGACCAGTGACACCAGCGAGGGACGCGGAGCTTAGTGAGCTGTGGTAAGTCGGTGAGGAAGGCTCTCCAGTATTCGCCATCCTCAGGAGGCAGCGGCGTGTCCCACTCTAACCCCTTCAGACACGTTGCCTAAATAAAAATCTTTGCGCGAACGGTGACTGGGGCTAACCATCCGAGCGGGTTAAATAGTTGCCGCGGCTTGAGAAAAAGCTGATCTTTTAGTTACTAGTTTTGATTCTATAGACGGAATAGTGAAGGTGAAGGTGTCGGAACGAGGGTGCCAATGGAGACCCAGTGTCGAATGACTCTCGTACGGCAGCCAAGTCCGACAACTCGGTTGCGCAAGATTCTCCTCGGGCATGTTTTGGAGAATGTTCGGGTCATTGGACGCCCACTTTTTTAGAGGGAATTCGCCCGCCATGCAGAGTTTCATGAGTTGGCGTTATAGGTCTTGAGCTTGAACTAGGATGTCTGCTCCCGAGAGTACATCGTCCATGTAGACGTCTCGTTTGAGAATCGTGGATCCAATAGGGAATCGCGGCCGCTCATCCTCTGCGAGTTGGTGTAGCGTCCGGATGACGAGGAATGGAGCACAGGCTAACCCGTACGTTACAGTATTCAATCGATACTCAGTGACGGGGTCACACCTATTTTTTTTCCATACTATTCTTTGTAGATCTCGATCAGAGGGATGTATTAAAATCTGGCGGTACATCTTTTCGATGTCGGCCGCGAATACGTACCGATGT